AACGCTGAATCTACAGTAGACGATGGACCGTTCCATGAGCTCAGGCTGCCCGCAAGCGGCTGCTGCTGCAGCACCGTTTAGCTGCCAGCTGGGTAGACCCTGACGTGAGCAGAAGCGAATTCAGCGTAAGCTTGACGTCATCGTGAGCGCAGCGAGCGCATCAGGCAGCAATAAGCGTCCTTTTTCTGACGCGGCCACGCTGGGGCAAAATTGGACACGTGACAGCCATCAAATCGAGAAGATTCTGCGTCACGCCTTCACGGCTGCGGTGAAGACCATCATGCAAGCGCATTCCGGGCCCGCGGCTGCAGTCTGAAGGCGGCAAGGCTCTCGCAGCCACGTGGTGTTCTTAGCCTTCTTGCATGAGCGCGAAGGTGAAGGTGCGCCGCAAGCAGCAGTCATGAATCCGACGGCGCCCGCAACTCAACACACTCACTTTCATCTACCAATCCCTCAAGACTTGATTCACTGACAAAATTCGACATCATGGGTGAGTCGCAGCGCATCTTGAACTCCAAAAGCTTGCTCAATGTCCTCGGTGGCTTCCACCAGCGTTTTCGCTGTAAGATGGTTAACCTTGTTGCTAACACGATCACACTTTCGTCCCATCTGTAGCTGTCGGCAAGAACAAGAAGTGCGTTGTGCTACAATTGTGTTGACCGGTACGAGTGGTGGATTAGGAATCGCTGCGGTGGTAAAATGCAGGAGAATAGGCGAACACCTTGTTTTGCGAGGAGACAGAGCATGGACGAGGGAGGGGGAAGGCACCATCATTTTGCCAAGCGCTTTTGGAGGAGCATGTAGCAGAGCTTTGGGCAGCGCCAATTATACAAGAATCAAGCGGTGAGATGCTGATACGCTGTGCCTTCGTCCTCGTCTCAAACAGACTTTCCAAGCGCGGTGGTATCAAGAAGAAGACGGTGGACCCCTTCACCCGTAAGGAGTGGTACAACCTCCGTGCCCCTCTCTTCTTCTCCCAACGTGACCTTGGCCGAACCCCAGTCAACCGATCTCAGGGTCTGAGTGAGTGTTCGCCACATCGGCTTTTGGAGAGCGAGAAGGGGTGCATCGCCGGGGCTCGGCGGCGGAACGTTCAGTGGAGCGCGTTGCGATGGGATCGACGGATGGAACCACGCATCTCGCCACGAGGCGAAGGACCGCGTGTCATGGAATCAGTATCTGCGCAGTGACAGATGGATGTACGCCTGGTCAAGGGACGATAAAGGCAGCTTCATGCGGAGCGGAGGGCTGGCCGTACACCAAGCTCGGGTCACAGGCTGACCGCGACTCTTTCTTCACCATGCAGAGAACGCCAACGATGCTCTCAAGGGACGTGTCATTGAGGCTTCCCTTGCAGACTTGAACAAAGACGATGAGCAGACTTTCCGCAAATTCAAGCTGCGTGTTGAAGAGGTTCAGGGCCGCACCTGTCTCACCAACTTCTACGGCATGGACTTCACTTCCGACAAGATCCGTAGTCTTGTTCGCAAGTGGCAGAGCCTCATCGAGGCCCACCAGGACGTCAAGACCACCGACGGCTACCTTCTCCGTGTTTTCGTCTTCGCTACCACCAGGAAGCGCGCAAACCAGGTCCGCAAGACCGCGTACGCCCAATCTTCTCAGATCAGGCAAATCCGTCACAAGATGTTCGACATCGTCAACCGCGAGGCATCAGGCTGCGACATCAAGGAGCTGATTGCCAAGCTCATTCCCGAGGTCATTGGCCGAGAGATCGAGAAGGCCTGCCAAGGCATCTACCCCTTGCAGAACGTCTACGTTCGCAAGGTCAAGGTGCTCAAGGCTCCCAAGTTCGACCTCAACAGACTCTACGAGCTTCACGGATCATCCTCTAACGATGACACCGGCTCAAAGATCAAGTCGTCCGGAGAGTTCAAGGAAGGACCTGCGCTCACCAGTGTTTGAAGTGTTGACCGCGCATCTTTCCACTTTCACCTCGACAAGGTCTTCGCCCTGCCCTCCATGTCGTTCTCTTGCCTCGGCTGTACTCCCACCATCATGTCATGCACACTCAAAACGACCCGCGGGATCGGCGGGTCCTGCGCTCGTGCTCCATGCAACATTCGGACCATCATGTTAAGTCGATGGATCCGAACGTGCGACGCTCGGCGAGCTAGCACGTCAATTTCCGCAATACAAAATCACTTGAGACGCTCAGGCTAAAGGCATTTTGTCGATTGATGAAAACTTTGGATTCGTGATGGACTCTCTGCGATGTTGTCGGCGCCATACCTGGTCTGAATGTGACGATGACGGCTGAACGCAAACCCCCCTGCTTCCGCCTTTGCATGTGTTGACAGATCGTCCGGCTGCTTCGGTCAGCTGATGCTGGCAAAACGGCCGGATTGATGAGCCGCTTCAGCGACAGAATCAATGGTACTCGGAGTGCTAGACATGTAGAGGGTGCTGGGAGTCTGATCGCGTGCGTGGCGGTCAGCTTGGGCAGTCAAAAGTCACGTAAACAGCCACGGTAGTCACGCGCCACAATCACTCAAGACTCAAGACTGTGAATCTCAAATGCCTGAGTTGTGCGCAGTAGCCGCTTCACGTGCCGTGCCTCTCTCTGCTGCAGCAGGAGTGACGACGCGCTGGAGGCCTGCTGCTGGTCGCGATAGGCTTACTGCGTAGGTGTCGCAGGGCGCGACTGCGAAGCGCCTACCGCTCCTCTGCACGCGCGCGCCTCGCCATGCAAGGATCAAGCGAACAGCTCTGGCAAGCGCGCGACGCTTGTTGCTCATCTCACACCATCATCAGCATCGCTCACGCGACATTGCCAACGTACAAGCCACCCTACCTTCGACCTCGAAGTCCAGCCTACATCCGCCCTCGGCGCATTCAACGCATACATTAGTCTCCACGTCGACCCTACGACATCGACGACCACACATCAGCTCAAATTCGACAGAAAAAAAAAATAAGACAAAATGGTCAGCATCAGATCCTTTCTCGGCTCTACTTCTCGGTTTCTATGTTCACTAGCCTGAGCAGGGCGAGTCTTCTGGCTTGTGCCGTCGCTCCCGAACGTTGCTTCTCAACGCTTGTTCATGTACCCAGTCCAGGGTCGGCTAAAGCTACCCTTCTGGCCACGGGATCAACTGTTGTTCTGTGCCCTCACAGCGACCTTGCCGATGCACT